GGATATGAGGGTTCGGGAACGTGCCCGGCCGGTCCGCCACATAGAACGTGGTCTACCCTGGGCCACATTTATTTTTTCTCTCTCTCTTCATTTTCATCAATCACATGCAAATAACAGGACATATAAGGGATAAAGTGAGGACTATATGACTATATGAACGGGCAAATAAGAACTTAAAACAAACACACCTGCACACTGACCGAGCGCGTTCGCGGATGTTTAAATTGCCGGATTTGCTAAACCCAGCTATAGAAGCTCTTAGTTTTGGATAGCGATGCGTTTGGTGTGGAGGTACAAGCAGGACATCTCCTGTCCTAAAGGTAGATTTTCGCTGGTAAAATGTCATTTTGGACTAAGAAGCTTTTTCTTTTTTGCGAATAATACAGAAATTTTATTTCAAAGTCATAAGGTTACAAATCGAGAGGCAATAAGTCCTTACAACATGAAGGACATATGCTCATTCATACCGCAGTATATGACTCGGTATGGCTATAATTTACCGTACAATGTGGTACCCTATTTTGAGTCCTACTATTTTTTTGTGGAACAAACTCCCTCTCATTCATACAAGATTTAATTTCTGCTGCTAGCTGACCATAGGCCTTTTCGTTACATGCACGTTCCGATTTGAATATTTGCGATGTTATTATCAGAAAATCAAATCACCGTTTGACTAACAGTATGCAAAAGTCATCAATTTTTGATAATGTTTCTGCCGATTGCACTGAGCACATGGTTGAGAGTCGTCTGACACAAAATATGACAGGCAGGGGTGTTGTTAGAGCATCTCCAACAGCCGCGCTAAACTAGCGCCGCGCCGCAAGTCAGACCGTTTTAGCGCGCGCGTGACACGGCGGGTGGCTCCAGCGGGCGCGTAAAAACCGCGCGCGCGCTATAACGAGTTGGGCGCGCGGTCGGATGCACTATCCCGCGCGGTGTATTTGGAGCGCCCGCTTCAGCGCGCGGCACACTCGAGCGCTCGCTCTCCCACTTCCACCCCCCACCCGGCTGCGTCGTCGCCGCCGCCCGCGCCCCCCGGCGATCGTTCAGGCGCTTCCCCGGCCAATCCCCGCGCCGCCGCGCTTCCACCCCACCCCCTCCTAGTCCCGTCGGCCCTCGCGCGCCTCCTTCGTCCGAGGAACAGCGCCCGAGCGCTCTCTGCTGCGCTGCGCCCGCAAGGTGTTTGACAAAACGCCTACAAGGTGTGCATTGCTCAAACTTCATGAATTTGGTGCATGTTTTGAATTGTAGTTTTTGTAGTATAGTATTGTACATTGTAGATGAGTTCGTCGTATGATTCTTTGGAAGAAGAATTTGATATGGAAAAGGAGGAGGATCTTGCAATGATCATAGCTATGCATATTAATAAAAATCCGAAGCACGGTGGTTCGGTTATGGGTCGGGAATTTTTTTGGAGAGATAGGATTGATGCCCATAATAGATTGATGAAGAACTATTTTGTGGAGAATCCCACATACCCGGAGTCGTATTTTCGTCGCCGGTTTAGGATGAGCACCGACTTGTTCAGGCGCATTGCAGAGAAACTAGCGAGCCATGACCGGTTTTTTCAGCAAAGGAGGAATGCCGCCGGAGAGCTCGGGCATAACACCTTTCTGAAGGTGACAGCCGCTTTTGCGTATGTTGGCATACGGTATCCCGGCTGATCTAGTTGATGATCACTTGGCTATGGGTGAGAGCCAAGCCATCATGTGTGTCAAGCGCTTCGCAGTGGGAATTGTGCAAGTGTTTGGCGAGGAGTATTTGAGATCTCCCACTGCTGAAGACGCTGCAAGGCTATTGGCGATGAACAAATCTCGCGGCTTTCCTGGCATGCTTGGCTCAATAGATTGCATGCATTGGAGTTGGAAGAATTGTCCAAAGGCATGGCATGGGCAATTCCACGGCCAAAAAAAGGGTTCCACTATAATCCTTGAAGCGGTGGTCGATCAGGAGACTTGGATTTGGCATGCATTCTTTGGAATGCCTAGATCTTTGAATGACATCAATGTTGTCAACCGATCACCACTGATGAATAAGATTGCAAATGTGAGTTGCCACCGGTGCAGTTTGTAGCAAATGGTCGTACGTACAACTATGGCTATCATCTAGCGGATGGCATCTATCCAAAGTGGCAAACCTTCGTGAAGCCGTTGAAAAAGCCGGAAGGTAAAAAAAATCTTGATTTCCACAATGCTAAAGCGGCGGCTAGAAAAGATGTGGAGAGAGCATTTGGGATTCTGCAAGCCAATTTGCTATTGTGAGAGGACCGACTAGATTTTTGGATCAAAAAATACTTTGGTACATCATGCACGCTTGTGTGATCATGCACAACATGATCATCGAGAATGAGCGTGGCCAAGATTTAGACTACTCACAGTATGAGCTCCTGGGACATCCCGTGTGAGTGCGACGGAGGGCTGAAAGGGTAGTCCGTTTTGTTGCCTCATATCATGCCATTCGGCGTCCCGCAACGCACAATGAACTTCAGAAGGATCTGATTGAAGAGTGGTGGGCATGGCATAGACGACAAAGAGCATGATTTCTGCATTCGACATTGTATTGTTCATGAACTATCTGTTGTGTTTATTGCATTATTTGTTGTACTGAACGATCAATTATTTGTTTGTTGTAATGATCAAAATTGAACTATATATTATTGATTTATTTTGTTTGTTTGATCATTTTTGCTCCTCTTTTTTGAAATGTATATGTAGTTTGTGCGTGCTGCGCGCGCTGTATTTTTGCACGCTGCTGGAGTGGCGCACGCACGCTGCATTATAGCGCGGCCGTTGAAGGCAGCGCTGGCGGCCGCGCTAAACCGGTTGAAGCGCGCGCGGCAAACATGTTTTTTGCGCGCGGCGCGAAACGCGACTGTTGGAGATGCTCTTAGAGCTGACATGGCACCAAAATCTAACATCGTTTGTTCAAAACGTTAAGTTAACTCTGTGCTGGTGGTCGCCGTGTCAGTGAGATGTTAAGCACCACACACGAACACGAAGTGCCATTCATCGATCGAGCTAATATTGTTGCCGATCTGTCTTTGTCTTTGGTGGATTTGTTTGGATCTGGTCATAGTTCGTCTAAGTTCATGTGTTTTTAGGTTGGACCCTTCTGATCTACGCTACTCTTCATCGGCGGTGGTTGCTATTCTACTGCGTTGGTCTTATGGGGCCTTAGCATGACGACTTCCCGATTGTCTACTATAACAAGTTTTGCCTGACTCCGGCGAGGGAGGGACGATTACGGTGGCGCGCCTTCGGCTGGCTTCAGTGCTTGTAGTCGTCGCTAGGCGGTCTACGAATCTGGATGTCAATTTTATTATTTCTGGTATTCGTTGTACTGCCATGATTGAAGATGAATAGATTGAATTTTTTTTGAAAATAATAATAACTAATGATACTGATTAAAAAAAGAATTAATTAGTGGTACTTCTGCTCTCTTTCCTTCGGTCCCGTGCCCCAGAATGTTCGAGTGGCGCACGTACGCACGTACAGCCACTGCCATACCGCGACCGGCTAGCTCGCGTCGCGTGTGTTGTCAGACCGTGACCGGAGGGTGACGACGCGACCAGGCACGCTGGCTGCCCTGAGCTGGAAGCAACGGAGCACACGGCCGGTGGTGGATCGCTGGCCGGTCCCCGCCGGCATGCATGCATATGCACGCACCAAACCGAGAGCTCTAATCTGTCGGACCCAACGAACTCTGCCAGGTCCGGACTTGCATCGTCAACTGCCAAGACAACATCGTTAGATTTCCTGCACTCGTTAGTCACCCCCCTTTGCAAACGAGTCAACGACAACAGTCTCTTCGTATGAGCGCTGATTGGGTTGGGCACCTAGCTCGGGATGAAGTTTCACCGTGTATGTACATATGTACCGGAAATCACGCGAGCTATGTCGAAGCACACGATACATCTCATTGGTGCCCCGCGGCTACTTCAAACTTTGCGACGGCGAAGGGAACACATATATCTCGTGAAATCATCCTGGATAGTATGGGTATATAAAAATGTCTATCCGCCAACCAACGTGCGATTAGATGGTTAAGAGAACAGTGGTATCCTCAGCTCACCAGGCTTCAAGTACTAGACTTGACATGATGCTCACATTATTTCTGCATTTATTTTAGACTTCTGGCGATATTCGTTTAGTGGAAGAAGACGTTCCCATACACTGCGAGACGCTTGTGGTGACTTTGTAAAATCTCAAAATGCTATGCCGACTTAGTCTCTTGGAGGTGCTCATAGAAGGTAGTGTGTGCGTGCGTGCGTCCATAGGGGTGAGTGCGTGTCTATGTATGTGAGTGACTTTGATTGCACTGTGTTAAAAAAACATGTTTACCATCCTTTTTTCTTTTTGCAGGCAATAAGCACGTCTATCTAACTACCTGAAACGTAAACACCAACATGCGTGTATTCACTTATACGAGCACTTTCGAGAGATTAAGCTTCATAAGCACCTTATAGCTTCATAAAAACATCGTTCCCACTCGACAAAAATCGTTGAGAAGTCTGAAATAATTTCAGAAGCACGAAATCAGCATGCTTTCATCGCGAGGGACTTAACCATCCTCAGTTCACGGTCTCACAGTAGCCGTAATTTTAGCTCCCCTTAAAAAAAACAAAACTGCGATTTTAGAAAGAAAAAACACACACACATTCTATCGAGTACAATGCGCAATTAAAAATTGCGAAAGTGGGTTGGAAATTTAACCAAAAGGCAGCCATCTTTTTCACCTTTTCGCCCTTTTCCCTTCGAGAAATCAATCCTTTTTACCTGCTCCCCCGCATCGCTTCAAAGCCAAGCGAACCAAACCGTATCACGCCCCAAGGCCAAGCCAAACCGCGCGCGCGCGCGGCCTCGCCTCGCATCCCCTCCCGCACGGCCGCACAGATCCAATGCCGGTTGCGCCAGCGCCAATGGCGACTCCCATTCGCACGCGCCGCTAGGCCCGAGCCCGCGCGCCTGCGGTGGTGGCGGCCATGGCGTCGCCGCGCCGGAATGCCTCCCATGGGGCGGCGGCGGGGAGGGAGGCGGCGCGGTCGGACTCGTCGCCGTACACCCCCGCGACGCCCCGGTCGCGGTTCGCGGCGGAGTTCTCGCCCGAGGCGTTCGACGAGCCGGGGGCCGGGGAGGTGCCGTCGGCCAAGGAGAGCGTCACCGCCACCGTCCGCTTCCGGCCGCTCAGGTTTGCTTCGCCTGCGCCGTTACAGTGCACGTGGTTTGGTTGGGCTTTGGATTCGGGCAATGCGGACTGACACCGGTGGCGGTTTTGTTTGTGTGTGTGGAAGCTCGCGGGAGATTCGGCAGGGGGAGGAGATCGCGTGGTACGCGGACGGCGAGACCATCGTGCGGAGCGAGCACAATCCCAACATCGCTTATGCATACGGTATGTAAGCTGAGTGGTTGCTTGCGGGCCCGAAGTAGTAACAGAAGCATAATTGCTACCTTCTGAACAATGACACAGTTCTGGTGTTCTGCGTATATGCTGGTGTAACAGTGTAAAACAATCGATAAATTATACAGCAATGTTGATATATAATTGTGTAGGCAGATTATTCAATGGAATGGCCAAATGTTTCTGCTTGAAATTGCTACCAAAGTGCATTCATAAGTAACAACAAATATGTTTTCAATTTCAAATTTCTTCTAATAAGTGGTTAATGTGTAATTTGCAACCAGATCGTGTGTTTGGACCAACTACGACGACACAACAGGTATATGATGTTGCGGCTCAACATGTTGTCAGTGGTGCCATGCAAGGAATAAATGGTACTGATCATGTATACTCTTGTTCCTCTGCTTTCTGTTTTGTAAAGAATTCTCGTTGGGCTACTTGGTGTTCTCTTGCTAATTTGTTTAATGCTGCACTAGTTTATCTGAATGCAAAATTGTTTTGGGGTATTTACGAACATCACTGTCGTCTGTCAGGTTGAATTCAATAAATTACTGATTCATGCGGAAGTTCATTTATTCATATTAGTCTTCAGTGGTGAAATTAGGATGCCATTACACAATTACTGCTCTCAATTGTTGTGGAGGAATGACAAACTTCCCTTTTGTTTTTATACTGTCACTCTGTCAGGAACAATATTTGCATATGGGGTTACAAGCAGTGGGAAGACACATACGATGCATGTACGTACATTTATTGCAAGAAATTTGTTTTAGATACAGTCCTTCCTCAAAAAGTCATGGAATCCCTGTCCTGTGCTTGGGCAATGCTATGCAGTCCGAATTGTTTGAGATACACCTCTTGCTGAGATGTAGAGTTTGTTCTTCTAATTATCAGATGTGTAACATAGCAATTTGTTTTCAGTTTTCATTATAACTAGTGATGATAACCATTTATGCCCTTTTCTCTATACAAACATTAAACTATAATGTGTATATGCCAAACATTTTTTATTTCTTCACATACACTTGCGCTATAAGCAGGGAGATCAAAGATCCCCAGGGATTATACCTTTGGCCGTGAAAGATGCGTTTGGCATAATACAAGAGGTATTACTCGAATACATACCCTATGATGATTCGACCAAATCATTGTATTGATTTGGTTTTACTCTGTAGACCCTGAATCGGGAGTTTCTTCTTCGTGTGTCATACTTGGAAATTTATAACGAGGTTGGTTGTTCCCAATTCTGCATTTCATTGTGCAACCTTGATAAATTTAATTCTAGTCAGCACCTAGGTTGGTTTGTACTCTGATTGTTTTCATAACACCTGCAGCTAACCAGTGTTTCTATGTCACAGTAATATGTAACAAAACTTAAGTTTAGATAACCTTAAAGCGATGGGCACGAACGTCACACATGTAAATGCAGTTTTTTTCCTGGGTTCTTAACACAGTATTTATTTTGCTTCTTGCTTATGGCTTAACCCGGAATAGAAACATGCTAATAGTACAATGAAGCATGTGAAACAGGTTTGCTGATGATATACACAAATCATAGTAGCCGCACTGGTATTAGCATATTTATGCACTTATCAGTAATGATAGGTCTCATTTAGGCCCAACGGTGGTCATTAAGCTAAGATGAGGATGAATCTCAACTTTCAGTGTCCTATAGGTAATCTGGACCCTTTATTTATTATCTATCCAACAGCTGAAGAGTAAATTACGAAAAGAGAAAACCAACATAACCATGTCGTCTGGATCCTGAGTGGAACTATAATCCACTTCTGTAACAATAACTTTGGCAAGTTACCAATAAAGAGTAGTTCCTGAAAGGCGGAAATTGGTGGATGCAAGTGTAAAACTTACCTTTTTATGCCTACCTGGTTTTTTTACTTTTTTGCATGTACCCTAGGGAGTTACACATTTATGATCTAGGAATGTGGTTTTCTGAAATCATTTCTCCATAATATTTATTTTGAACTGAGTGACTCATTCTGAACAGTCAACTAAATGTGCATTTTCTATAATAATTTTCTATCTTGTATTAATTGGGAGCCTCACCCTTTATAGGTTGTGAACGATCTCCTAAATCCTGCAGGGAAGAATTTACGAGTTAGGGAGGATCTTCAGGTCTGAAACATCTTTTTTTTTAAGTAACAGGAGTCTCTATCACACAATCTGTGTACTTTTCTAGTTAACTAGTCGTAAATTTAAAAAGCTACTGAGCTAATTCTTCTGAAAGATTTTTTTACTACTTCTAAAAGTTAATTTAACTAACTGAATACTGAACTTTCTTGAGGACTATTACTGGTCAATTGTCTCCATATAGTGTTGTCCATGCTACACAAGAATGCAGGTTGCTAAGTATTGGTATAAGTACAGGTCATCGTTTTCCTACTCAAACATTTAAGTTAATTTAGACCACAAATTCGTGTACTTCCTGGAGTGTTTTTCCCAACATATGAAAACTGCTTGATGGATGATGCAGAACATGATGACATTATTTTGAAATCTTATAACATGGACAATCACACATAAAATGCCAATTGCTTATGGCGTATGCAGCACGTGACTGTCTCAAACTATATTACCGTATTTTCTTGATTATAGTTCATTCTCGCAGGGAACATTTGTTGAGGGCATAAAGGAAGAAGTAGTGTTATCTCCTACCCATGTTTTGTCCCTTATTGCAGCCGGAGAAGGTTCGTTTTATTTATTTTGTTGTCTCTTTGGTGTACCTTTACCAGCATGTTGTATGAAGAATATCAGGATATCACCATGAGTTGACAGTAGTTATGAGGATAATTCTTATCTAATAGTCTTTCGTTAATATGCCTGGAACAAACTATCATGTAACGATGTTAAATTTTGTATAATAGTAAATCTGATGATACTTCATAAGGGAACACGACCATTTGGATATTTCTTTCTAGCTACTGTAGAATACTCGTGGATGTCTGATATAGCACATGTCTAGTTCGCCATATATCAACACATCACGAGAAGAATGAGTATATTTTATATATACGGATTTCAAACATGTCACTTGTTCATTTTCTATTTTGGATAAACAGTATATCTTGCCTGGACTTACTAGATGGTATCCCAAATAATTTACTGCAAACATATAATCTAGGTTGATTGAAAAATGCACTATGATAAACACACAAATTGCACTTGTTGGTATACGGTACCTCGGACTTCGTTAGTTGCTGCTGTTTCTTAGGGTGAAATGCACATGCGTAACAATGTACTTATGTACTTACACTTTACCGTGTTCTATTTTTTTTCAGAGCATAGGCATGTTGGATCCACTAACTTTAATCTTCTAAGTAGCAGAAGCCACACAATTTTCACACTGGTAATACGAGTGATTTCTTTATGTTCATAAACTAATGATTCTGCAATAGGTATGTCAAAGAATGTGCGCAAGCCTTTTTCAAAATGTAATTTTGTGATATTTTTGTCATAATGTGTAGTTACATGGAAGTTTTTAACATATTTTCATTTGGCATACATCTTCTATAACTTTTCAATTTATTGTTTCACACAGACAGTAGAGAGCAGCCCCTGCTGTGAGTCTAATGAAGGAGAAACAGTTA